TCGAATTCTACGAGCTTGACAAGGTGCGCTTGCTCGCGTGCACAGCGCCTCGCCACCGATGGCCTCGGATCGTCACACGCACACTCTCATCACACTCCCACCGAGGCAGACGGGGATGTTAAATTATGGGCGGTGGTGAACACTCGCATCTCATGGCAAGAAGTGCCTGGGTTCGCGTCCCAACTCAGGCGCCTTTCTGCGTGGATTTTGTACGCTCCTTCTCCTGTTCTGCAGAGAGTGCGGGAGTGCGAGTGATTGGGTGTGTATGTCAGTGAGTGTGTGAGTGAGTGTAGCGGTTAGCGTGCTGCGCTACGAATCCAGCGACCCAAGTTCGATTTCCGTTCACGTCCAACACCAGTGACGATTATCTAAACCGGTTCTGGTGCGGTGTGTAAACATCACAGCTGGGGAGACAAAGGTGGCCGGGCCTGGCGCTGGCCACCCCACCCCCTCGTGTGCCATACTGGCCTTCATAGATGCTCGCTAATAGCACTTTCCCCAACAGTCTGTTAAGGGTATATAGGGGATGTTTGTGTGAGTGAATGTGAGACTTGAGTGTAATTTGTATGTTATCCCGGGTTCAATACCAACTCAATGTAGTTGGTATTGGCCAAACATCCAATGGCAGAGTCAGGATTTTTAGGTAGGAATGAAAAATGATAGAGGAGTTGTTAGTAAGTAAAGACTTGTCCTTTGCTTGTTATTCGAGGCGTGTGCGGCGATGGCGCAGCCATCGATCGAGGGTCGAATTCGAACCGTGTTGTGTGGTCGGCATCGCGCTCGCTGAAGGTGAATGCCTTCAGGGAAGTCGTGTCCTGTATACACAACTGCGCACAATTAGTCACTTAAAACTGTTTTGCCGTTACTTATTGCCAATTATGGACTCGGACTATTGTCCTATCATCTCATCGAGTCCTGGCACATAATTGCTACACAGTGGCAGTGGGTGTCGCAAAATGCCGATTTATTACTAATAAACCCCAATGATCTGATCGAAATTAGGGATTTCGATCAGATCATTGGGGGGAGGCACGTGCCACCCCACCCCCCCCACTGGCTCCGCCAGTGCAAACATCCCAGTGCTGAATATTTACCTGCAATTTACTCCATTGCGCTTAAACAAAGCAACATTGCCCTGTCCAGCAAAGAGCTCACCGAGTCTTGAGACTCGGTGAGACTTTCCTGTGTAATCCAGCACAGTATTACTAACGGTTGAAAGTAGAGCTGGGCTATGCGATTAACGAATTGATTACTCCTCCAGAGGCTGCCGGTTAGAGCTCTGGACTTGCAATCTAACTGCCGCATCTCTCTGCTGCAGTTGAAGTGAACCTGAAATAGAAACTTTTGTTGGTACTCGGTACTTCCTGGAAAGTTGACCGACCAAATCGATCGAACGATTGGCAAAAAAAATCTGGGAACACAAAGCAGCTATCCGTTGGAATCCATGCTGCTAATAAAATACTTCCGATCCACCAACGCATGGTGTAAAGCGTCGCGTAATCCTCGCGTGCGCGCGGTTTCTCCCGACTTGTATGCACGAGGAAAAGAAGCCTTAAGTGCCCGATGTACACCTTGGCAAATGTCTCCTGGCATGTTGGTGATAATGTGCTCATTGGCCAGTTCTGCCTTGGCAAATGTCTCCTGGCATGTTGGTGAAAAATGTGCTCATTGGCCAGTTCTGCGAATGGGATGATGCAAACTCAGTCAAAATTTCTAAATCATCCAAAATAATACGGGCCCTACAGCTACTGCGGATAATACGAGTCGTGGGTAATAGGACAGCGGATAAGAGGAGTTCACCTGTAATAGTAATAATTTGCATCTATATAGCGCCTGAATGCTATAAGCATCTCTGGATGCTTCACAGGGAGCTTGAATGGGTTTTGACAGAAAGACGAAACTGCGTCATTGATTTACGGCTCCCCCCATCTGTGTACAGCAACTTGAGATGCATCACACGGAGACGTTCTTATACGGGAAAAAACACAAATTGTGTTTTTTGCTATTTCGTTTTCCGTGAAGGCACCCGAGTTCGACATCGTCACAAAGCCCACGCCCCTGTAACCTGGTCAAGTTGGGCAATGGAAGTCATGAGATGTTGGCGATAATCTTAGGCAATCAGTCTCAGTGGGTAATGAGCCTTGGGTCAATTGACGTAAAGCTAAATCTCGGTGGGGTTAAGAGGGTTAAGGTTTGGCTGGGTGTCTTCGGGATTAAAATCGTACGATTCAGATCGTGAAGATGCCCGCAGTAGTGCGTGGGGAAAGCTGTTGAGGGATTTTCAGCCACGTGGCGCAACCGCGAAAACGGCGCGGAGATTAGCCGCCGGCTGTGAACACTTTAAATGAAACTCGTGCACAAACCGTTTCATTATTGATAAGACATCAATGCTAGTGACCAAAAATATGTCAAATTTAATTGGATGGAGTGTTTTCAATTTTCATCTGATGTTTTTGATTCTGTTGTGGGTTTTTAACATTTTATTCCAGAAAGAAAATCCGACAAAAGTTCGTTGAAGACTTGCGGGAAAAGTTTGCCGGGAAGGGTCTGGTGTTCTCGATAGGTGAGTAGTGGACGGTCGATACCTGGCATGGACTTTAAAAATAACTACCGGAATCTGGAGCCTCTTTTGCACAGGGAATGACTGGGAGATTTCAAACCAAGGGATGGATCATAAAGTAGGAATGTGCCACTGTGCCAGCCATACAAAACCTGGCTCCAGCATTTCGAGAAACTGGGGTTTAGAACAATTTTCTCTCATTTACGTACTCATTACTTTCCTGTTCCCTCCCACCCGCCTGCCCTCCCTCCCACCCTCCTCCCTCCCTCCCTCCCTCCTCATCTCTCTCCACTCATCTCCCTATCGTCTCTCCTCTATCCCCATCTTTTTTTCCCCCCCAATCTTCTCCACTCTCTCCTTTCTTCTCCTCCTCGTCCCCATTTAGTCCTCCCCATTCTCACACTCTTCCATAGTCCACCTCCTCTCCCTGCCTCCCTCTCACTCCCTCTCACTCGCTCCTCACATCTTGCCTCGTCTCTCTCTCCCTCCCCCCAGGAGGACAGATCAGCTTTGACGTGTTCCCTGAGGGATGGGACAAGCGCTTCTGCCTCGGCCTCCTGGCTCCCGACCGCCTCCGCACCGTGCACTTCTTCGGAGACAAAACCATGGCGGTCAGAACGCACGCCCATGCGGCCCCTCCCTCCCACCCTCCATCTCACTGCACCGCTCTCTTCTCACACTCCATACCCTATCCTCTCCGTCCCTCCCTCCCATGCACCCACCCTATTGTCTCCATCTATCCCTCCCATGCACCCACCTCTCCTCTTTTCACACAACAATGTCCTGTCCTCTCACCCACTCATTCACACACCCACACACCCACACACCCACACACACCCACACACACAATCTCTCTATATCCTCCATGTCCCCCCCCCCACCAATACACCTTCCTTTCTCCCATCCACCCACCGAGAGACACTTCCTCCCTCCCACCCACGCACCCACCTCGACTCCTTTCCACCCACCTACCAAACCTTCCTCCTCCCATCCCTCTCATCCACCCTTCACCGATCCCCGCACACACCAGCAGGGTGACGCACGGGTCAGACGACTACCAACACCTTCGTCCCAGCAGCGGACTGACGAAGGGTTGATGATGATGACATTTTTTTATGAACAATTTGTAATTATAGTAATTGGCGACCGCGGCATCTCCTCTCTCTCTGCCCACCAGGGTGGAAACGACCACGAGATCTTTCACGATGAGCGGACGATCGGACACACGGTGACGTCTCCAGACGACACGCGCCGGCAGCTGGAGGAGCTCTTCTCTCTCAGCTGAATGTGGCCTACCCCGGGGATGAACCTAGGGGATAACCTGAAGAAAGACCCAGGGATAACCCAGTACTAGCCCAGGGGTAAGCCAGAGAGAACCGAAGGACAATGTAGGGATAACCCAAGAGTGACCCAGGGAATATCCAGGAACAATTGGAATGAACCCAAGGACGATTGGGGAATACTTTGGAACAACCACGATATAAAGAGCATGAAATATAAATATTTCATTCCATTACATTTGTAATTGGTATCTACATTACACACAGACACAGTTAATAGATAATTTGAATCTCATGATATTTCCCCAGGCAGTTATTAGTAATTTTAATAAATGTCTGTCCATCTCTGCGGTGACCAACGGTCACTCGGTCGATGATCTGGGGCTGGTGTGGATGATGGGGGCGAAGCTGGTGATTATTGGTGCATATAGAAATTAAGTTAACATCGCCTCCCCCCCCCACCAAGTTTCAATATAAAAGTTATGGAAACGGCCGCTGCAGGGGCTTCATACACCTGGCCACCCTTGGTGGTGGTGGTGGTGCTGGTCACGCTTATAGCGGTTTTAGTAGTGGTGGAGGTGAGAGATGTAACAATGTAGCGACGGTGGTGGTGGTCAATTTATTTACGTATAGGTGATCAAGGGGAAGACCTAAGAGCAGATGGTGGGAGTCTAAACGAAACGACTGAACTTATTGTTTATTTTACCAGGTCAGGGCCCACTGAGCCATGAAGCTTTTTTACAGAAGTGACCTGGCTATCACAAACGATAGCTCAAATAAAGTGGCCTATCATGTGGACATTTATAGCAGCCGAATAGTCTTTAAACGCACGTTTATAAATTTGGAGGATAAAAATCTGAGGACCCGGAGAAAAATCCACACGACCACGGGGAGAACATGGGCGTCTGGGTCGGGATCGAAGCCACGATCTCCAGTATACCAGGCGAGGTAATTAACATCTCACCACCGTGCCACCCATCTGCCGAGACTACTACTGCCAGAGCAGACCTTGGAGGTTTGCCGCGTGCCTCCTGTGCAGCAGCTGTGGGATCTGGCGGAGGGTAGAATGTGTTGGGGAGGAGCTGATGGTGGTGGTAGCTTCAACGGCTTTGGCCTCGATGACATCTTGATCTTTTAAAATAACTAATGAAGTATTCAGGCTAGGTCCTAAAGAGTGGCAGTGCGTGAAATTCAAGTGGTGACGGGTTCCAGATCAGGGGAGCAGCAGCCAAGAAGGGGAGCGACTGCCCCCTCCATCGTTTGCAGATTTCCTCGTCGACTCACCAGGGGATCGGGGGATCGCTATTTGCAGAGTGGAGAGCACGTGCAGGGCTTGGGAGAGTGATGTGGGGGTGAGGTACCCAGTTGCCCGGGGGCCCAACCCATGAAGAATCTTGAAGACCATCACAGCAATCTTGCACTCAATCCAAATATGTTTTTGTTTACATTGTGGTTGCTGAGCACAGGACCGAAGGCCTGAAACGCCGAGTGACCAGCAACAAAACAGCGCTGTTGAAATGTGTAATGGATATAGAGTTGCCACGTGTCCTGAATTGAGCAAAGGTTAAGATGAGAACGTTTGGTGGGGAACGAGATGATGGGAGGGAAGAAGTAGAATGAGACACTTTACACAGTTGCTGAGGCCAGCGACCTCATGGCCCAAAACTTCACAACGGCCAGAAAACAAACGGCACTATAAATGTTACAATAGATAGGCCTCGGCAAGGTAAGGTCATTTACCCTTTTTACCGGGTCAAAGGGTAAAGGTGTTGATATGCTCAGGGGTAAGGTAAAGGGTAGGGTAAAAGTAGCGCGGCGAAGTATTACCCGGTAAACACCTTGTTTACCGCTCGCTAAAAACTCCGTGGCGCAGTCCGTGGCCTCCATTTAAAATTGGAATCATCGAGAGTATTCGATATGAACAAAGCGCTCTACCTAGCATTTACCTGTTCTAAACCTTTTTCATGTGTAGTAGTACCCCAGTAATTACCCTGTGATCGGGTTATTTGTACGGGGTAAGGGTAAAAGGTCGGATAAAGATAGGCTCGTTGCTTTTGACCTTTTACCTTACCTTGCTAAAGGGTAAAAGGTAGGGGATAGAGTGATTGCATTGTGGTAAGGGTAAAGGTAGGCTCATTGTTTTGACTTTACCTTGCAGAGGCCTAACAATAGATGAGAGTGTTGTGGACCTGCAAGTGCGGTGGTAGTTGAGACGAAACGCCCGGGTCTGCTGGTGAACAATCTGTGAGGACGAGTTAAGTAGTCTTTTGAGTCTCGTCGCATTCTGCAGTCAATCTGTTTTTTTACGTGCCAATATTTGTTCAGGAAGGCCGCGGAGTAATGAATTCACGAATTTCGATTTAACGCTTTCGTGACTGCAGGGCTTCATCTTCTTGGTTCTTTCGGTAAAGTCACGTAGAAGGGAAGTAATAAAATAATAAAAATAAAACAATATTATAAAAAGTTTTATTTTTATAATAAAATAATAAAAATAATGTTTTATTTTTATAATAAAATAATAAAAATAAAACAATCATTTTTATTATTTTATTACGTGACTTTACTGAAAGAACCAAGAAGATAACTTCGCGAAGTTAAGACGCGGGGTGGTGAACGCAGGCGCGAGATTCTCTGCCTCGGGTGGAGATAGAAAATTCCGTAAACAGGCGACG